GTGAACTGGTATTTCATTGGGAAGAGATTTATGTTAGCGCATGCATTATTTTGAGTAAGTGATAGTATATTGCTATTTCCATCAGATTCCTGATCACTGATTCACAACTTTAGATAATATTCCCTTTAAATGATACCAGCATCCTACATGATTGAAGTAGTAGGTAAAAACGCTTGTTGCATAGATCTTCGAAGTTAATTGGTGAATGGTGACTAGCAGTGAACTCCAGACAATATGTGCATTTCGTCCTATTTGCGACTCGTCAGCTACTGGATGTACCTGCATTCCCCACTCAGTGAGTGATGATATTCCCACCATTTATGGTCGAACCCAGTGCCCATAGTTTTAAACGTCAAAGCGTTATCCACTAGACCACTTGGACCAAGAGAGCTACTGCCTCTTGTACCACGGATCATATTGATTATATAATTGAATTTTAGATTTTCCTGTCAATTGATTGGACCGAAGTCTCAGGTTGACATGCCTGTCGGCTTCTTGTGCAGATGCTTCGACGATGTCTGGGCATTTCAATAGAAGTTAATTGGTGGATGGTGACTAGCAGTACATCCAGATGACGAGTCCCAAATAGGACGAAATGAGCATCTCAGTGGATTCCACTGCTAGTCACCATCCAACAGTTAACTTCTAATTACATGCCCAGACATCGTCAAAGCACCTGCGCAAGAAGCCGACATGTCAACCCGAGACTGAACACTTCGGTCCAATCAATCGACGGGAAAATCTAAAATTGAATTAAAAGATTTTCGAAGTAATTTAATACTATATCCAATAATGCATACGAACAAGAAACTGAAAAATACGATGACAGATGGATAGAAGAAGTGAACGTATAAGTTCATAATTCAAGAATCGATTTTTATGTTACTCGAATTGCCTAAGATCTAGACGGAATTAAGTAAAACAGATGCGTGGTTAGAAAAAATTTAAACTGAGTTACATTACAGTGGTGCTTAAGGTTTCTAACAGAATACATAGTATCTAATACTCTAGGTTCACTTAATCATGCCTAGTCTAATCAGTGCTCAGGATAAGTAAACCCTTGATAACTAGACAGACTTTAGGCTTAGACGAATTTGCTTTGATCATATATTCACCCATTGATTCTAGAACATTGGAACTCTTACCGATGCCATATTTCTCGATCTAAAGGGGAATTTTGACTTTGTCGACTAAGCTGTGTGGTAGCAATGTCTGACGGTGAAACGAATGCTTAGAACTAACATCATACTAATCAAAGCATTCTACTGGAACTTATGTAGCAGTGTAACAGTTCATGGAGTGTTGTTATCTGAAGTGCTGATGAACAGTGGTGTCCTTCAGAGACGTAGAACGTCTCTTGTTATCAAGGGATATTCTCGTCGATTTAAAGAATGCAGATGATATAATCCTCAATGAATGCATTACTCAGTGCTGATGAAATCTCGGATTCAAAAAACTCGCCTGACATTTGCTAACCTATGTCATCTCTGGCGTAGACGTGATAAGCAAGTTATCAATGGAAGGACATTTGTACTGCACAGTTGTTCTCTCTGTTCTTCTTTATGACTGCCTATTGAAACTGCAAGGCATGAAGGCGTTCGCTTTTACTTTCCAGTTCTACATCGTATGATGTGATAAGTAATGTTGAGGTGAGGCGTGGAGTATTAAGCAAGGAGGGCAAATCGATCGATGACATTGTGAAACTGCATCGACTAAGATGACCAGGACACATGTTACGTTGTGTTCCTTGCCAACCGATGTCAGCTGACATCAACATATGTAGTCTTTGACTGCTGGGGTTAGAGACATGTAGGCAGGTTTAGACTGCCTGGTTAGGGTCCTAGAGATGCTAAAATCTAATACTTTGGGACTATGAGGGTTATTCATACAGCGGCCTGCTCAAAACACTAGGCTACCTAAGTTTTCCGTCTATCAGAAGGCATGTTAACTCCGTTTCAAATTGTTTTAATCTCCTAATTACCACGACGAGTAACTATGCATACTCGCACACTATTTCAATTTTTTTAGGAGTTTTTCCAAAGAAATGGAAAAAGAACATTGTGGAGTCGCATAGGAGCATACTATGGATGGATTAGTATTGCTTCAAATGATACATTATAGACTAGTGTATCATTTGTAGCTTCCGCTCAAGGGTAATTACCTTTCAGTGAGAATCACTGAAAATTCGGTATTATGCATAATCTCATTTTTCACAATAAAGCTATCATTATATTATGACTAAAAACCGTTCTCAATAGTGTAGTTGTATTCAGCCTTCGTAATCTCCAAGATCCACTAATTATTAATTATTTCCTATGTACTTGTTCTTATCCCCACCAACCGCCTTACATTTCTCTTCATTACAGTGCCTTTGCATTTTCTTCTCTTACAATTGTTTGATGCCTTATGAAGTTGTTGCTACTTGAACTACTAAACTTTTATGAGGAGTTCTACTTTGAAAATTTAGTCACACAGTGGTAGCTTTCTGCATCCACCGTAGACATTTATTTCTTTAACTATAAAAAATTACACTTACCAGTTCTATGCATCTCTCTTTATCACATCTTTAAATCTTTGAAATCAATATTTATGTATATAAAAAACAGAATAAGTGAGCAAAGAATATCCTTTTCGATAATTTCCTCTGCTGGCTCTACAATTATATATATGTATATGTTTATATGCATAGAATATTCTAGATTAGTTTTCAATAACAATATTAGTGTTTTTTAAATAATATCGATTTGTAAAGTAAGATGAGTGGAATTACAGTTCATTAAAGATGCTTAAATTATAATAATAATAATAATAATAATAAAGATATAACAGCAAATAGAATATCAACTTAAATTAGGGAAATTTCTACCAAATATTGAGGATCATTCAAACCTAGATGGCCAAGGTAAGGACAATTTCTGAAACAACTAGTGCCTTTTGGATACATAAATTAGGCTTCTTAATGTGTATCCCAACAGCCAGCCTCAGCAATATTTAGTAAGTGAACTCTTAAGGCGAAGTTAAGATTCGTTGGTTGGTATGCGATAAATGACTTTGAAAGCCGCCTCGTTGACATCAGTCTTGTGTTCTGAATACACAAGATGATGTAGAATAGCCCTATGTGAATAGATTTTGTGTTTCCTTTACTTTACTAACAACGCGGGGTGATGTTCTGAAATCCGATGAGAAACTTTTATAGTTGTATAGCCTATGTAAGTGGCTCACTGCACAGGAGCAGTTTAATTCGTAGATACACACACGTGGAAGAGGCGAAATGAAGCAGTTTGTCTTTTACTGGTTTTGAAGACACAGCATAATTCATCAGCAGGGAATGCTCTTTTCACCGCATCTCCAAGGCGTTGTGTTAGTATCTCGCTGACATTGTCCCCAAGGAATTGAATTTGTAAGAATAAGGCCTTTTTAGGAACTGTTAGTGCCTTGGGCTGCCTTGATTTTAGATTCATATTCTTATCACTGAACTTCCCTGGATAACCGTTTTCACTCAGCAACCGTTTAATATTATTAAGTTCCTCATCAAGACATTCAACCGAGCAGAATTCTCTTGCTCTGTGAACTAAGCACTTTACCAGATTGCATTTGTATTTCAAAGGTATGAAGCAGAGAAAATGAGCATACTGGCAGTCAGTTGATGTAGGTTTTCAGTATACACTTCTTCTTATTGTGTCATCCTCTTTTCTGGTGGATATAGAACACAAGACTGATGTCAACGAGGCGGCAGGCTGGCTGTTGGGATACGCATTAAGAAGCCTAATTTATGTTTCCAAAATAAGCTAGTGGGTTCAGATATTGTCCTCACCAACTTGGCGATCTAGTTGCGAATGATCCTCAATTTGTTGTTGTAGAAATTTCCTTAATTTTAGTTGATATTCTATTTGCCATTATATTATTATTATTATATTATTATTAAAGCATCTTTAATGAACTGCAGTTCCATTGATCTTGCTTAACAAATCGATATTATTTTTAAAAAACACCAATATTGTTATTGACTACTAATCTAGAATATTCTATATATATCAGCATATGTGTATAATTGTAGAGCCGGAAGAGGAATTTATCGAAAAGGATATTCTTTGCTCACTTATTTTATTTTTGATAGATGTCGGAATGAAATTTTTTCGCTATATTTATGTATATAACGGATTAGTAAACTTCGAAATGTGCCGATTGTTTTCATATATTGGTTTGTAGGGATCTGATTTGTTTGTTGTTTGATCACGGTTTGATACCAATTAGAGAATAACTGAAAACCAGCTGGGAGTACTAAATGGCCAGCTGTTTCCTCCACGTCTCAGACTTATTGCTAGTAATCACCCACCTAGATTCGAAACCAGGATCTTTTAGTTAAAAGAGAATTTTGTAGACCATACATCCACTGGGACACGACTCAATATCTCATTAGTCCTAACTTCTACCAATTCGTCTACCAATTACCATATTTGTCCCATTTAAATTTATTCTCTCAATCTTGTCTACTTACTCATGAGTAGTTAGATAAGATAAAACAAAAAAACATTGTCACTTGAAGAACCAATATTTGTTTCATTCAAAAAAAAAGAAATTAATTTTAACACTTGTAACATTTATATACAAGTGAAAGTAATGCAGTAAAAAATAATAATAACAATGATAATATATACTACTGAAAAAGGAAGAATAAATTCATAAACTGAAATTATTTATCAAGAGAAAAAAGTAAATACCATACAAGTTAAATTTTCAAATGAAATTCAGTAATGCTCGAAATGTCTTTATGTGCAGCACGAATAAATGAATGAATGTCTATGTCCACTGTGTAGTAAGGAATCTCTTTTTTCTTTAAAAGAAGCATTTTTTGCATTTATACAAACTGAGTGAAATCACGTTTGTTCGTCATGCTTCTGTAGATTAATATCCATACTCTGGCAGACTAAATGATTCAAGTAGGCTGCCGAAGTGGCCTGACGTTTTCATCTAATATTTATCTCATTATTCTCATTAATTCATAAATGTTCTTTTTTAACATGGTCGTCTGAAAATGCAGAATTACTATCATTTACAACATTACTGTTATTGTTATTATTATTATTCAAATTTCTCCCATCATTCGATGAAGATGAATTAGAATCGTTACCATGATGCAGGCTGACATCAGAGCTGTTAGTTAAATTATCACTTTCTAACTTGATATCATTTCTTGTCTTCGCTTCACTAGTTGATCTTGTAGCAGTCCTGTGAAAGTAAAAGGATGCAAAAACAAGAAAAAACAACAACACATCAACACAAGTGATTAGATATTAAGTTTAACAAACGAAAAAAGTTTAATCTTAAATGATTATAATAACAGTATTAATAATTCTAGTATAATGTAACGGTAACGGGTACATAGTTCGAGGCTAAATGAGCCCATCACCATCACTCATTGCGGATGCAAGCACATTCATTTGATGAGTACTAAATAAAAGGCTATCCTCATCTTGTATTCCACTACTAGTCACCACTGACCAAATATATTATTACTGTAATTGTCCCCTGTGAGTTCCGAGCGCAAAAGTACGGTGTCATCAGCACATCATCTCTTTGTCCTATTCTCTGAGGTCCTCTTTACATGGCCCCACAATCAGCCATAATCTCTCGTCTCCTCGTCACATGATCTCCTTAATGTCACCTTCTGACAAACACCAAACTCGTCATTTCCACTCGGGTCCTACTCAAGCTATGGTTTGGCTTGCGCGATGTTATTCAACGGTTTCCTCAGTGGTGTATGTCCGATCCATCTCCATTTACTTTGGCTTATTAATTGAGCAGTCGGTTCTCGGTTTGTTTGTTCGTGTCAACCAAAGATAACACAATGTAAAACCTTTTTATTCCTTAAAGAGCACCATTTTTCTGTAATGATCTCTGTTCAATTAGTAAGATTCATCCAAAAAAATCCATACAATCTTTATGTCCTCATCATGATGTCTATTTCCATGATATTACTGTGTAACTTTTTGAAGATGGATCTTAGTAAAGGCTTTGATTGGACACTAGTTACTAACTTGCATTATGTGTAGACTGAATTCTGTCAGTTAATATATGTGTAAAACTTGAGCACTGTGGTAGTAAGTAATTCCATATTAGTTTGTTTATTAGATGTATCACACAGTCACTGAAACAGTATTATTTACTGGATGACAATGTTTCGAACACAATTTATTCTTCATAATCATACCACATCGATGATAATCGCACGACTTTGAAACTTGAGTTTTATAGTTTTCTTTGTCTTCTCCTATTTGTCGTAGGGGAAGTAGAATTTTCCAGATATCTAGGTGGACAGGTGTTGAATCATTCCTATTACATGTATTTGCAGTTGATTCGGTAAAGAAAGCTTCCGTTATCAATCTCTCCCTATATACTGTGACATTAGATTTTAAAACTTTCATCCTATCCTATCATCTTATTGTATGGTTGTGTGTGATTGCATGTAGTGAGTGGTATAGCTGAACTATTCTCTAGATTTCCTATCTCATTCGGATCAAATAATCTATATTTTGCTGCTAGGTTTTTATGCTCGGCTAGTATGACTGCCCCTGTTCTATTAATTAGTCCTGTGTATTTGACCTGACAGTCATTGCAGGGTATTAGATAAACTAAAACTTTTGTTTTGAGGGCTCCACAGCACTAATCCTTTATCCGACAAAGCTTGTTTATAATTGAGTTTGTGAATTCTATCAGTGAAGTTTGCAATATGACCACCAACCATGCTAGGTAGCTCACCATCACGGTATACTTAGAACTGTCGTTATTAGTTGGGACACAAATTTCCTCAAGGTTCCAGATATTCCTTGCCACGTGGTGAGCGCCAACAAGCACGAAACCTAGGTTGAAGGCTTCCTGCCGACTTCTTCCAGCTTTCTAATAAACAGCGAAAGCACTGAATATTAGCCAAAACATTTACCCACTGACTTCTAATTTTAAAATGTGTACATTATGGTATCAGTTTGTCACGAAATATATCCTCCAGTAATTTGAGGGGGGCATCATAACCTGCCTCTTTAATTACCATTATTAACAGTATTCAGAGTGACGCTATCTGCAATCAAGCATGTCATTTCTTCCAAACTCAACCACAAGTTGATGTCAGTTAGAGAATCACTGAAAACCAAGAAATACTGGATGGGTGTTTCGACCTAGTTTGAGACTCATCTGTAGTATGCACTCACTGGATTTTGAGGCTAGAACCTTCTGGGGACAAGACAAGCTCGTAGAGCATTCAGCTACTAGGACCCGATTCAATGAACAGCCCATGAATTCTAACAGCGACAAATTCGTGAGTCCCAAACTAGGAGGTTGAGACAGCTCTCCCATACTCCCAGATGGTTTTTGAATGGTTATTTAAATGTTACTAGTCAATCCGTGATCAAGGTTGAAACAGATAAAGTCCTAACAAGATAACTCTTGAAAACCTGTCATTTTTGATGTGTTTGGACTGATGTAATGATCATCGATTATCATAATGGGTCGGTGAACATCACTATAGTTACTGTTCTGTTCATCATAAGATAAATGAAGGCTACTCTTTATAAAGGTGGCTATGAATCCCATTGTTTGTTATTAGAACCTTTAAAGTGTATAAATATTCTTAGATAAAACTATTTCAGCAGACAAGATAACCAGATAAACTCGTTTATTAGTTCATTCATACCACTGAAATGTGTTTGATTGGCTTAAATATTAGACTTTCATCTAATGTGTTCTTTAACGACCAAAAACGACTCGTTGTAGTGTGAACCGATCTATGCATCCTACCGTATAGCTGTCTAAAACTTTTTTCAGAAACATACAGTCACAAAATGCTCCGAAGACAGCAAAAAGACGACTGTTCGTCGACAACTTTATGTGTGCTTCTATTCAAAAATAATAATAACTTTCAAGAGTTGGTTTGTAGGGATTAAATTTGTTTTTACGAGTTTGACCACGGATTGATATCAGTTAGAGAACCATTGAAAACAACAAGCTGGGAGGACTGGACAGCTGTTTCATCGTAGTTTGGAAATCATCAGTAGTACGCACCCACTGCTAGGGTTCGAATCCAGGACCTTCCGTTTACAAGGCAAGCCCGTATACCATTCAGTGTGAGGATGGTCTGTTCTCAACATAGAACTCTGCACCCATGTGCAGCAGTTCAAGTCGCCACACTCCATGTAGTACAAAAAGTAACAGAAGAAAGTAGAAGAAATGCAAAATAGAGATAGTAAACAGGAATATGAGACAAAAGGAATAGTAATAACTAAGAACAATATAATTCCATTGGGTATTATAAGTCACAAGGAGTGGGTACATCTGCGCCAGCCATTGAGAACGATTTTGAGCTATATCACCGATTGTCTCCAGCCATTGGTTTTTACCGTCCCGAGGACTCGAATCAGGAAGTCTACACCGTCCAACGTGGCTAGCTGGCTCAAACTAACTGTTGTGGCTGGTAACATGTTTTGGTTTGACCACCGCTGGCTCTTTCACAGCCTGACTCTACGTCAGCTAACACTGCCCGTCGAGGAAGGCAATGACTAGAAATACGTAACATATGTCCTAGACATTTCAATTGATGTAGCTTCACAGCCTCGTCCACTGATTTCCCCTCCTTACTTAGCGCCCGACGCCTAACCTCAATATTGCTCACCTTATTATACCACTTCACGCGGAAAATAGAACGGAGACAATGGGCGAGTGTTGCCGATGATTCTCAAACTAGGAGGGAGGAAACAGCTGTCCAGTACTTCCTTTGGCTGGTTTTCAATGGCTCTCTAACTGATATCAATCCGTGATCAAATCAATAATAATAATGTCAAAAACTCAAAATTGCCTCAACAGTGTTGCCAGGCAGCTATACAAGTCACGATAACGTTCTAAGTACTGTAGAACAAAATTAGTTGACTAAAATTCAACTGGAAGAAGTGTTCTTTAGAAATCCGAAAAGGTGGGATCAAAAACTGACTCACCAAGAATCACACACAAACGCTCGCCCGCAGACATTCAAATTTCAGAATGACTTTCGTTCACTCAAACAAAATCCTAATCGTAAAACAACACATTATCAATGCATAGCTCGACCAGAAAGACAGCCAGTGAAAGTAGAGATTAAACATTGAGAAAGACAAATAATGACGATCAAGTCAACTTGTGATACTCAAATGTCAGGATAACTATATATAGTTCAGGAGAAAAGGAGACAACAGCTACAAAGTTGATTGAAACATTCAAATAAGTGTCAATATTTCGATAAAAATGTTGAGGAGGGATTTTCGAAAGAATTATTCCTTTACAGCGTCACGAGTTCGAATCCCACTAAGCCTATTTCATAATCTTTCAAACAAAAAGTGTGGCTCTTACTATCCAGTACATAAAATATCTTTTCCGGGTAGCTGGGATAACTGCTGCGCACAGATTTATAAACGAATTGAGGAATCCCTGAACGACAACTAACTCACATAAACAAGATGAAAATAACTGCCGTTAATAATTTCAATATCACTTACTTAAATGTAGTCCCATTACATTCATGTAATTTTCTGTGCATTTTCATACCACGTGGTGTCTGGCCTACATAACCACACGCAGAACAACGTAATTCCGATGTTCCACAAGGTTCCCATTGAGCCAATTGAGTCAGTTGATCAGCCTCGTAGTCTGCAATTCCTTCTTGACTAGACAGTAGATTACGATTTGGAGAGGATTTTGCATTCAACGGGGATAATCGATTATTATTGTTATTGTTTTTCAAGATATCACCTTCATCACCACTACTAGAAGTTGATGATGAATTGGCTGAGTTTCTTTGGCTTATTGACACACCACCAAGTGTTTGAAGTTGACTAGAGGAAGCATTTTCAGGTGTTGTTGTAGTACACCGACGTTTATTCGCTGATGGACCAGTACTTGAAGGACAGCTTAGCGTAGTCGATGAACTAGTCGACGCTAATGTATCTGATGCAGTGGAAGTGGACTTTGTTGTCTGTAGTTGTTTCATTACTTCTTTCCGTCCTTGACAGTAGAATTGTTGATGAGCCTAAAATTTGTACATTGAGATAAAAATGTAGAAATTATAAATTATTATTTTGAAATTCATAGAACAATATGCCTACAGTGTACTACTAGAATTAGGAATGGCACCAGGTAACAAACCAAGATAACAGCCAGCTGATTACTTCAAAGTACTCTTGAAACGACCGCCAACAATTGCATTTCGTCCAGGAATACTAACAACAGCACGCAAAGAACTGTCACTGGACACCAATCCTCCAACATAGAGCAGAAATCTTCAATGCAGTCGAACTACTGCCCACCGGATAGAATTCCCGCTGAAGCACTGAAAACGACTCCACAGATCATAGGGGATATGCTCACAAAAATATTTCAAAAAGCTTGGAAGAAATGAAAGGTACCTACTGATTGGAAGAAAGGCTACCTTGTGAAACTACTAAAGAAGGCGAGTGACTTAGGTTTCTGCAATAACCGGCGTGGAATCACACTGTAGTTCACTCAAAGATGTTCTGGATACAGAACTCAGTCCGAAACAAGCTGGATTCAAGAAGGGAAAATTAAATTACGGATCAAACTGCATCATCAGATGAAGTGTAGAATGGCAGTCAAGTCTCCACCTCAAATTCATCCATTTTGAAAAGGTCCTCGACAGTGTTAATTGTGATGGAGTGCCCCAAATCTTTATAAACCTCATTCAACAGCTGTCTATGTAACAGTGTCACATGTCAAATGATCCACAGAGGGGAAATGAGGGAAGAAGCCTTTGAAGTGAATACAGGAGTAAGACAAGGCTTCCTGCCTGCCTGCCTATTATCACCGATGATATTCTTAATTGTCGTGGATAAGATTATGCGGAACACCGTACGAGAGAAGAGAGGAGACAGAAATACATTGGACCTGTAAGAATACTCTAACTGATCTGAACTTCACGAACGACTTATATCTCAGGACATACATCTCTTCTGCAATCGTTAGTGCGTACTAATGAAGGATGCCGTGTAGTGAAGGACTGTTTATTCCGGCTTAGTATTATAAATAACACTGGCTCATTACGAAATACACCCTATAAATATTTTGAAATTAATTAATTAAGGCTGTCATTGTTTAACACTAATTAGAATTTGTGTTATCTATGAGACAACAAGAAATAAGTAATTCTTGCTTATCGTAATACACTTCAATACTTTTTGAAAAAATATCTTACAGTACTGTTTATCGACTGATTATTTTACTCATTAAGGAATAAATTATTGCGACGGAATCTTGGTCTATATTTAGGAATGTAATATGCTGATATGGTCAGTCTGTGTTATTATCAAAGTAGTGGGTGAATTATGCTTAAATTGGATACCAATGAAAGCCTAAGAAGTACTGAATGTCGATAAGCATTTGACGGGTACTTTACTCTGATTGGTCACTAAGGTCTCTGCTTATTATTATTGTTCCCTTGGGTTTTGAGTGCAAAGTAGGGCTTCAACAGAACCAACTTACACCATCTCTGGTATGGATTTGATATCCGGCTGGTTATGGATCAAAGGGTATGTGTACTGCTCGGCAGTTCGTTATGTTCTTCTTTATGGTTGTGAGCAAGACATAACCATTGAAAGTGGAAGACATGAAGAGCTTCGCTAGCTGTCTTTGACCGTAGGTATCTGCGTTCAATTTCCCGTGTTAGCTGGCATAATGAGGTGAGTAATATTGAGATTAGACGTCGAGTGTTATGAAGGTGGGAGGGGAAATCAATCGACAAAGTTATGAAGTTACATTGATTGAGAGAGAGATAGTTAGAACATGTGTTACGCATGCATCCCTAGCCATTACACTCCTCGACGACCAGCGTTAGCCGACATAAGATCAGGTTGGAAAAAAGCCAGCGGTGGTCAAACCAAAACATGGCTTCATCAGTCAATCAAATCCACAACACTTAGTTTAAGCAAACCAGCCAAGTAGGGAGGTGTAGACTGCATGGCTGGTTGGAATCCTCCAGATGGCAAAAACCAATGGTTGGAGTGGAGACAATCGCTGATATGGATCAAAATCGTTGTCAATGGCTGGCTCAGATGTATTCACTCTGTGATTTATAATATACAATAAAATTCTATTCTTACACCCTCACTCACACTCCTGTTTATGATCCCTCTCTTTTAAACCTCCATTTACTCTACTCTCTTGCTTTGTGTGCTACAGGTAGAGAGTGTGGCAACTGGAACTGCTGCACATCTTTGCGAAGTTCTATGTTGAAACCAGTCAGTTAGTCAATCAGCTTCAACAGAAAATCTTAATTACACTCTATTCCCTGAAGTCCTCTTCTGTTGGAACCACCACTACTCATACGCCTTCATTTCATCCATGTCACTCTCCAACACATACCCAGCTTGTCGTTTCCCACTCGACGCTCTACCTGGTGTGCGATCTTATTCGACAGCCTGAAGACTTCTAAGTGATATGTGTATGACTGGATGCAGTCGATTAAGGCTTCTTCTTCTTGTCGATCAAATCAAAGAAGAAGAAGAAGCAAAAGCACCACTGAACACATTTCATCAGTGAAACTAGAGAAACATTAGAGAAGCATAACAATTCTATAGTTCTTTCTCTGTGATTAAAAATCAATCCTCTTTACAAAGATAAACTTTTATAAACACAGGAAGGGAATAAAGGTAAGTAAGTCAGCAAGTAAGTAAGCAGGTAATTAAAGTTATGAAAAATTACCAAAAGTGAAGAAGAAAATGGCGGGGGGTTAGAAAATATGAACCTTCGTATCAGTTATCTACCTAATTACCTACCTACCTACCTACCTACTTAGGTATACCTACTTACTTCGTTATACCAATAGATAAAGCGAAAGATGGTGATAAGAAAGTTAGATAGGTAGATAGATAGATAGATGGATAGAATGAGAGAAGAGACTGACCAATAAACTATTTTTAGCTTCGTCTTTCATATATATCTCCATACATCTTTCTTTAAGTGTGTGTTTTACTCAGAATTTGATGATAAAAAAAGCACATCTATACATACATTATATTTATATCGTATATTATCTTGACTTTTTTCTGATAAAGTTATTCAGCAAGCACATACTCTATTGGGATTATCAATCTACTTTAAATTGTCATATATACATAGATTATATATGTATATTATAGTTCAATATGGTTTCATTTAAAACAAAAGATAAGAGGATATCTATGCTTAACAATTGTGGATGCATTGTAAGTCATCATAGGAACAAGTAAAAGACTATTTATTTATTTATTTTTTTTTCGCTGTCTTTCTTATCAGCAAGTTTATTTAATTCAAAACTGGTCCCTAGTGTATAATGCCTGTTTTTTGTGGAAAGAATTCAAGTATTCACTAGTGTAAGTAAGTAGGCATGTAGTATCTGCGTGTATGCGTGTGTGTTTCAGAGCAAGTAGAATGAGGAGAAATGAAGTTAGACGTTGCACAAACCAGGCTACTAACTCAAGCGAGTCAATCACACTTAAAGTAAGTATTGGTAACCAGCAATATTAAGACGGTGATCCAACATAAAACCGGGTGGGATGAATTAATAAAGCGTATACACATCTAAGTCGTCTACTTTACTGAAATAAGGTTAGCTCTTACAGTATGTCCTTCATATTTGGTCCAATATCGCATAAATTCGAAGATTTAAAAGCGAAAACCGACAAGTTGGTAGAAGAGGCAGTCAATGAATACAGAATGTCAAGTGAACATAGTGAAGACAGAAGTGATGAAGATTGCCAACCAACAGGAACAACAACGAACACCAATCACTACTAATAGAACCAATTTGAAAGAGGCCACTTTCTTTGTTCATTTAAAAGGCAACTTGATAAAGTGCTTGGTTCACAGAGCAAGAGAAATCTGCTCAGATGAATGTCTTGATGAGGAATTTAAAAATTAATTAATTAAACAGTTGCTGAGTGAAAACGGTTATCCAGAAAAGTTCATTGGTAAGAATAGGAATCTAAAATCAAGGCAACCCAAGGGATCAAAAATTCATAAAAAGGCCTTATTCTTACAAATTCATTTCCTCGGAGATAACATCAATGAGATACTAGCATAATGCGGTAGAAAGAGCATTCCATGCTGCTGAATTATGGTGTGTCTTCAAAACCACCCCTATTTTGTGTTCGGGAGTCAAAGATAAACTGCCTAATTTCGCCTCTTCTATGTCTGTGTATCTACGAATTTAGGCCGTACAATTAGGCGTTTTTCTCGTCAGATTTCCGAACATCAACCCCTGCGTTGTTGGTTAAGTAAAGGACAAACATCAGCAATTCGTAGAGCTATTCTATCTCATCTTGTGGATACAGAACACAGGATTGATGTCAACGAGGCGGCTTTCAAAGTCATTTACCAACCAACATATCTTAACTTCGCCTTCAGAGTTTGTTTACTGAATGTGGCTGAGGCTGTCTGTTGGGATCCACATTAAGAAGCCTAACTTATGTGTGCAAAAGAAGCTACTTGGTTCAAACTTTGTTTTTACCCATCTATGTTGGAATGATCCTCAATTTGTTGTTGTAGAAATTTCCTTAACTTTATTTGATATTCTATTTGTTACTATGTTTTCATCATTATTTTTGTAATTTATATATCGTTTATGAACTGTTATTATACAAATTGTAAACTTTCGTCCTATAGATTTCTTTATTCTTTCCTATTTGTCGTAGAGGTAGCAGAATTTTCCAGATATCTGGGACAGGTGTTTATCCATTCCTACTACACGTATTTGCAGTTGATTCGATAAACAAAGCTTCCGTTGTTATCAATCTCGCCACTTGAAATCCTGTTACATTAGATTTTAAAATTGTCATCCTATCCCATCCTATTGTATGGCTGTGTGTAACTGCAAGTAGTACTATAGATGAAATATTATCTACATTTCTTATCTTATTCAGGTTACCTAATCTAGATTTTGCTAGGTTTTTGTGCTCCAATAGTCTGACTGACTGACTGACTGACTGACCCCGTTCTACTACTTTGACCTATGTATTTGATTGATTAAAAATGCCCATT